AGTGTTCGGCACAATTTTTCAGTGATTCATGGACATATACACACTCATTGTCACGTTTTTGTCTCTGTGATTTATCATAACATTTTGTGTATATTTCCCTGTGCTATACAGTGTAATCTTGTATTATACGCCCATTGTAATGTAGTAACATGGTGAATAACATGCCCACAGGCACCATGGCAGTCCCAAGGCTAGCCACAAAAGGTCAAAGAGTGGGAAGTGGCCAACTTCCTGGGAATCCCAGCCCCATCCCCAGGCTAGTTAGACTGATCCTTCCACTTATAAGCATATGAAGCCACCAAGCCCATAAAAAACAGCAACATGGCGCCTCGTGGCCGCCCGTCTCTCTCCCTCTTCAGAGAGGCCCACATACTATCTATGGAGTGTGTACCTACTTTTAGTCTTAGCACCCAACCCCCACACCTTGTGGCCTTTCTCTTGCCTTTCAATGTATCTCTCTGAATAAATCTACTTTCACTCAACTGTGGCTTGCTCTTGAATTCTTTCCTGCCCGAAGTCCCAGGGGCTCAACCGAGACCTGGGACACAGCCCTCCTCATGCCCCGCATTTGTTTTCCTGCATCATTTCCATGGGCTTCGGCCAGCTCATGAGTTACTCAGTTTTTCCATTGTTGGCCTGAAACAGATAGCCAGATATTTCTCCAGTAAAGACGGATTTATTCAGGACCTGGAGAAACTCAAAGCTTGTTCTGCAACCATGGCAACCCAGCTGCCAGTCCCCACAGTCAAGGGAAGGCAAATACTTTTTCAGGAAGGAAAAGGAATTTGCGAGGGTTATAGTAAACAAGAGTACACAGCTTTTCATCCGCTGCGTCCTTGCCAGGAAAGAAGAGGAGTCTTTCCACTTACCGTTGGGCTCTGCTATTGCAGCAAGGAATGAGAGCTCCCCTTTATGATCTCCCAATCCTATTCAATTGAGGTTTCTATTAATTTTTACAACTCTAAACTCTTAACCCTCAGCCCCTAGCCCAATCCCTAAGCCCAACCCTAACCCCTAAGCTTATCCCTTCCCCCTCATCCTAAACCCTCTCCCTAACTGTGCCCTTCATGCCACCCGCCACTCACTTCCTGAACCAACTGGGTCAGTGACTTTTAGGAAACCTCAGCATCTCCGCCCTGCTTCTTCCGGCCCCTTACAGCCCCGCCTCCAGAGACCAGACACGGCTGAAGTCATCGGCCCATAGATGAGCAGAAGGGTGCTCCCGGGTCAAAAGCGTCCAGAGTGTCCGCAGCACATACCCAGACTGTCCCAACGTCAGAGACCCGGCGGTCCACAGCACTTCGCTCACCTAAACGACCACCCCTGGGAGCCACGCGAGCGCGCGCCCGCGCCCCCACACGCACTACAAGCCGGGACAACGGGGTGGGCCCACGCCAGGCCTTCCCGTGGCCCCGCCCCCTCGGCCCTGCTGTCCAACCATTTCTGGCCCGCCGTCCTCCGCGCGTCAGGCACCGACTTCCGCTTTCGGCGGCGCTTCCGGAGTCCGGGGGCCCCGCTAC